CCTTGCGGGACCCCTTCCCCCCTCACCCGCTCTTCTCTTGCGTACAGCGCTCAGCCAAGCAGCTCCTCGGGTCCTCCCAAAGTCCTGCTGCTGCTGTACTGACTGCTGTAGGAAGGTTAGTGCCCACACGAGATGCTTCCGCGCAGGCTCTGAAGTATTCCCCCCCCCCCCCCCCTTTTTTTTTTCTTCTTTGTAGGTAATAGCTGACCATTTACAACTGTCCAACAAAATGGATTGCCCTTTTCCAGCTCTCCCGTTTAGACTTTTGTTGCTTAACTTGTAGGACACAATGTCTAAGAAGCTCTCCTTGCCTCCTCTGCCTGCATCCTCCTCTTGTTCTGCTGAGAATGGCAGAAATACTGAATGCTCCACCAGGCAGCATCCTGCTTCAAGTGCTCCTGCCAATAAGCTGAGGGAAAGACTCGTCTGTTCAGCTCCAAAGGCATCAGTGCCAAATCCTCAGGCTCTTAGATTTGTACATAACACAAAGGCGCAAGAAAGAACAAGAAAGAGGCAGCAGCCCATAAAACTGGAACCTTTGGTATGTTTGGGAGAGAAGTGGTTTTAAATGGATCTGCAGTGTATGCCTTTGCATTTACAGGCTAATGTAGTTGTGTCCCACAGGTGTTATTGTGGTTCCTCTAACAGTGCAGTGAATTGCAGAGCCAGATTTTTGGCTACTTAGTTTAATTAAAGTCAGCGAAGCTATATCTATATATTTATACTAACAGTGGACATAGCCTGCAGGTTTCTCCAGGTGTACCAAAAAATGAAGCGATAGGCCTGGGGAAATGGCTTTTTTTTTAAAAGTAGTAGTTCCACATAGTGTAAAAGAAAATGCTGATTACCAAAGCATTTTCAGTCCAAATTCAAACGCTCAAATGAAAAAAGCTGTCGTTTAACCTTGCACTTCATTTAAAATGAATAGTGAATTACCATGTCAAGATCACTGTCTGCTACAAAAGCACACTCCTTGTAGAATATTAATCGTTTATTTTCCCCACACAGATATGTAGTGTGTGTGTGTGTGGGACTGTAACAGGACTCATGTAACCGGTGGCACTGAAGCCCCCTGGTGCCCATGTGACTTCTGCCCCACTCCTGCTTCTCAGGGTACCCTCAGTTTTCTTCTCACCTGCCAAGCCTTGATGGAATCATTTTATTGTAAAAGGGTCCCAAGGCAAGCTATAGCTTGTTTGGCCAGCTGATCCCTCCCTTACCCAGCTGACCCTATCAGTGCCTTGGCCCAGTTGCCTTATGGCTGTGTGTGGCCTCTACACCTGTAGCCATGTCCATTCCTTGCAGATGTTACGTTAAATTGTCCTCTGGGCCTGTTGGTACCATCTGTTAACCAACCGTTCCACCTAGCCTGCTGAGCCCCTGGCCCTGGCAGGGCTCTTTTCTCCCCAGGCCCCTGGCCCTAATCTGGCTTCCATTTTAGGTTTCAGCCCCTTTCTAGGCTTTAGCCCCCTTGCCTTGAGCCTGCTCTGGCTTCACCTTCCTCTGGATTTAGCTTCCCTATTGTGGCCTTAGCCCTCCACACTCTGGGCTCCTGGGCCCCGTACAGCTGCTGTGCTTCTATCCTAGCCCTGAGCCCTCTGCATCCTTGACCCTAGGCCAGGCTGCTTCCACTGCACCAGTGTCCTGTCCTTGGGGTCCCTGACCCCAGGCCAGATGACTCCCACTGGCATTGGCACTCCCAGCCATGGCCTGCACCAGCCCACAGCCAGGGTCCCTGGCCAGGGGTGCTTGACAGTGAGTGCCCCACCATGCACACCCCCCATGGCCTCCCCCCATAGCCACCACTCAGTCCTCTGGTTCTTAATCATAAATGCAAGCCTGCTGGTTGTATAACAAAACCTCTTCCTATGCTGGGTTACTGCAAACAGTAAGTCCCCCTTAGCTCTTTCCTTGCAGCTTTTGGGGACAGCTTGGGTGCCAGTCAGTCCCTCTCCTACAGCCATCTTGCTCAGACCCTTGTCACCCTACTACCTGCAGAGCCAGACTGACTGCCTGGTCTCAGTCACTGGCCTTATGTGTCTACAAAGCCCCATCCCTTCCTGTCAGCTGACTGTTCAGCCACCACAGGGCATTTGCTGTTCAGCCACCACAGGGTAATTGCATTTTGGCCTAATGACCAGCCTGCCTTCCTCTGCTGCAGTTCAGCTGTCTGTCCCTTAGCTGCCCACTATGGAGCAACTAGCCCCAGGGCACCTTCTCTGCAAGTGGTAGCTTCTACCCTGCTGTTTCTGAGCTGCCTGCCTTCTGGCAGCAACCTGCCAGGATAGTCACTCCCCCAGTGGTGGCTCCTATTCCAGCTGTTACTCCCTTGCTTGCCTCTCAGTAGCTAGCTCTTGCTCAGCTGCCAGTCGCACCCAGCAAACTTAGCCTGCTGCTGCATCCCCTTAAAGTAACTAGAGCCTCTCACTCCCTGTTATAGGAACTATAGAAATGATTTGTATGTAGTTTATATTTTTGCACATTGAGTAGTATGAAAAATACAATTATAACAAGTGAATAGAACATTTTCAAGACCATTATATATGTAACTAGCCAATTGCTCGTCAAGAATGACCAGGGTGGTGGGGGGGTGTGGGCAGGGAGAGACGCCTGCATCTGGCCCCACATCCCCCCCACCTTCTACTGTTTCAGGGCTGGGCCAGCTGGGCCCAGTGCTCCCTCCTCTGCCACAATTTGGGAGCCAGGAAAGCCCCCCCCCCCCCCCCCCCCCCCGCCACCGTTTTGGGGCTGGGCCCACTTCCTCCCCATCCACCTGGCACGCGTCCACCTGCCTCCCCTCCCCATGAATGATGGGGGGCACTGACGGAGTGCCACCACCCAGCACCCCGTGCTGCCACCACATCCAGGGAGCAGGGGGTAAAGCCAGAACTGCTGGCCTTGTCCCCTGCTCTGTCCACTCCATCGCTGCTGCCTCCCAGGAGTGTGGGGGGGGGGCACCCCCCTGCTCCTTCCCCTCTGTCCCCACTGTCATGGCAGCATCTGGGCCTGCTCTTCCCCTATGCCGCGGTGAGCCTAGGCCTGTTCCCTGCCTCCCTCATGCCACTGTCATGGATCCAACCCTGTTCTCCACTCCCCTTGCACCGCCGCCGCCTCCGCCTCCTCCACAGAGCAAGGCGTGCGGGGGAGGGTTGAGGCTAGTTGTGCTGGCCTGGGCTCCTCCTGCCCCCTCTGTTCCTGCTGTCATGGTGGTGCTCTGCTGTGGCGCCACAACCACCTGCAGTCTGAACACTCTTGGAGCACTCTGATTGGCTGCCGAGACAGCCAGTCAGAGTGCGAATAAAGAGTTACGGACAGACAGACTAAGGCTATAGTTTTATTTTTATCCCTTATAATTTAAGATGATCTGGAATTTCAGATGACCACCCAATTATTAGATTCTAGTCATAGAAAATTATAGATGTGTTTTAATTTTCCATATCTAGCATCTAGTTGTTGGGTGGCCTCTTAATTCCCTGCCCCCACCCCAAACCACTGCCACAGAGAAAGTAGTATCAGGGAAAGCAGCGACTGGAGAGCAGGCAGCCTGCCCCATGCCCCTTGTTGTTTCCCATCCACCCCTCTCCCTGTTGCTGCTTGGCCCCCTGGGCCTACCTCCTTGCTACTTGTTATCCCCCTCCCCAGTGCCTTCTGCTCTGCCACGTGTCCCCCTCTGGTGCTTCCCCCCTCCCCTACTTACCTTCGTAGTTGCTCTGTTTCTGTTTCTGCTGGGTTTATGGAGAACCTGGCCGTGCCAGGAAGTAGCAGTGGCTCAGGCTCCGGCCTCCAGCCCTGGTCAGGGTCAGAACTGGAGTAGAAGCAGCTGCCCCTACCACTCCGTGTGAACTCTTCCCCCTCTCCCTGCTCTGTGCATCCCCTTTCCCATACCCTTCCCCCATGCTGTCCCTTTCCCTGCACTCCCCCACAGCCCTTTCCCCTGTGCTCCCCACAATATTATACACTCCTTCTCTATGCTCCCCCCAGCACAATGCCACCCTCCCCTCTGCAGTGCACACTCCCTTCCCTGTACATTTTCCCTGTGTTCCCCCTTGCTCCTTTTTCTCCATTTTCTTTCCCTGTGCTCTACCTGTTCCTTTCCCCATTCCCCTTCCCCTGAGCCTTTTCCCTATGTCCTCCTTGCTCTGCGCATCCTTTCCCCCACACTCCTCTCATCATCCTTTTTCTCATGCTCCTCCCTGCACTGTGTACCCCTTTCCCCTGTGCTCCCCTACACCATGTGCGCCCTACTTGCCACATGAGCCACCCTGACCCAGTCCAGAGCCACGGCAGCTGCTTGCTGGGGGAAAAAAATCTTGTCTTAGATTCAAGTAAATATGATAACTGCTTTTTTATTGGTACTCACATTCAACGTGTGTGATATATTTTTAAAAGTATATGTTAATATATTTCTGGATAGAAATCACTCTAAATTTCAATGTGATATCCAGATAAATATTTGTTGTTGCATCTAATGGATGTATTGTGTTAAATCTAAGGGCCTGTAGATCCATAATACAGATCTTTACTACTGCGGCTGAGAAAGTTTGCTACTACTAGCAATTTCTATTGTCCTCTATTTGAAGCAGCTGGTAGAGAAGGATGTGGCCCACATCTTGCCAGTGGCTTACACAACTGTTTGCTACATAACAGAGAAATATTCAGTCTGAATGCTTGGCTTGCTTCTGGCTCTAGAGTGAAATGGTCTAATAATTTAAGATGGCCTGACTAAGAACATCTGTCATTCTGAAAGTCACGATGACTGAAGTGTATGGAACTTGGGTCTGTCATATTATAGACCTATGGACAGTTTGGTGGCTTGATGTATGCTCATTATGCTGTTTTACCATTTGAGAGTTCGAAAGTAGCAGTACAATGAGAGTTCACAGTACACAGGCAATTTAGGGCTAGTGTAGGGACAACTCTGCATGACTGGGGCATTCTAGATGTGGAAAGGGAGGTGGCTAAGCACTCCCCACTCCAGTGTTCTTGCGCTATGGAAAAGACTGTAATGAGATCAGCTGCACTACTTGGTGAAACAGCTCTGAATCTTGGAGGGAGATTTCATAGACATCAGGGCTGGAAGGGACCTCGGAAGATCATCGAGTCCAGCCCCCCGCCCAAAGGGCAGGAAGTCAGCTGGGGTCATAGGATCCCAGCAAGATAAGCATCCAGTTTCATCTTGAAGGTGTTCAATGTAGGTGCTTGAACCACCTCCGGTGGCAGGCTGTTCCAGACCTTGGGGGCTCAGACAGTAAAGAAGTTCTTCCTTATGTCCAGCCTGAAACGATCTTGAAGTAGTTTGTGACCATTTGACCTCGTCATCCCTTGGGGCGCTCTGGTGAACAAACGTTCCCCCAGATGCTGGTGGTCACCCCTGATAAACTTGTAGGTGGCCATCAGATCACCCCTGAGCCTGCGCTTTTTCAGGCTAAAGAGCCCCAGGGCTCTCAGCCTGTCATCGTAGGGTCTGCTTCCCTGACCTCTGATCATGCGCGTGGCTCTTCTCTGGACTCTCTCAAGCTTCTCCACATCCTTTTTGAATTGGGGAGCCCAAAACTGGACACAGTACTCCAGCTGCGGCCTCACTAAGGCCAAGTAGTTCTCTCAGGGGGAGAATGACATCCCGGGATTTGCTTGAGAAGCATCTATGGATGCAAGCCAG